AGGTCCAAAAAGCAGCTCCGGTGGTAAACACAGACGCCGCTCCATGTACGCTCTAACGTTTCCCATGTCCCCAACAGTTGAAACGATTCGTCAACATTTCAGACCTTCCTAACGCACACAAGGACATTTGTGACTTCATTTTCGCACTTTTGGCATGCGTTTATAGGCAACGGATGGTTAAAAACCCAACAGTCTAACCTGAGAGGGACTCGCATTGGCGGAGAGTAGCCACATGGACCACAAAAGCCTGCCAGAAGTCGACAGGGCTCAGTATACATAAAAATCAATTGACACAGTTGCCGTAGTTTGGTCTGAGAAGTAAATTCGTAGAGAAGCCTAACTTGGCGGCTCGTTCATATGAGAAGATCTAAGAAAGCATCTAATAAGGATCAGTCGTTCAAGCTCTCTGGACTGAGCATTTGGGAGCCATTCAAACAAAGGTGGTGTTTGAACTCTAAACGTGAACTGTGGATTCATGCAAATCTGTAAGATTGTGAAGTTAGCTCAGTGCATGGAAAACGTGGAAGAGGATCCCGGCCAAGTAGCTTGCTTACTCGTTCAATTTCTTCTTGCGACCCAACTGCTGTCAACGGTGGTGCGGGGAGGCCAGGCAGTTGAGGCTTTGGGAAAGGAAGTGGGGGAGGACCATTCGGTAGTTCCGGCCGTGGAGGATAATGAGGTGGAGGTCCCAGACGCTCGTGAGAATCTACAGTGGTAAGGAAGGCTTCTCGATAAGATCTGAGTACGGTCAGCGAGCACAATGTAGTAAGAAAATGGAGATAAACGACACTGTACCATCTCTGACACCCATTGGGTGTGTATCAACACAAAGAAAGCATGGGGGTAAGATAATGTGACTTGACGCATTCAGAAGCAACCAAGACGTAACAGGTAGGTTGTGCACCTTCCCACTCGGTGCTCTTGTCTTGACAACGAGATCCCCAAACTACTTCCAACAGCATGGTTCTTCACTTAAATTGCTATAACTTTCTTCCGTCAAAGTTCGCAAGAGTTGGCACAAAATGTAGTGGAGAGTATGCAATCCAAATTTCATTTCAATCGGCTGCACAGTCTGTGTCGCACGACACAAGCTGTGACAGCACCCGACCCGGTTTGAAGACGATTCTGCCAACGCTTGAGCGCAACACATTCATCTAAAGACCAGACTGTGTATGCCCACCCCTGTTTACATTTATCTTGCCGATGGGGGAAACCTCAGAGTGTAACGGCTGAGCAAAACGGTGAATGGCTTATCTGCCGTCCTGGTCTGGAATCACATGAGATGAACGCATCCGTATTGGCTGAAGGATACGGTCGTTATCAAGACATGTGCTTGAAATTTTAACCTAGCTTTAGGGTGAAGGATATGGCCACATGGAGATGCTTACTAGTACAAAATAACCAACCAGAACAATTATGTGATATAAGGCTCTGCTTTTGTTGGCTTCTCAGGGTCTGGGTTCTGTACTACAAGATCACTATGGAACTCTCATTTAGACAGATGGGAGAACGTTCAAACCAAGTCGATTTAAGTTTAATTTGTTCATCTTTCCATTGTGATCAAAGCAAAATGTACATATGACTGAGTTGGATGTGCTTTCTTCCCCAAATCTGCCTTCTTACTGACAGTGGAAGAATTGTTGCTGACACCAAAGGAGAGATTGTTAGCACAAACAGAAGATGTGCAGTGAAATACAGTGTACGACAAACTCATTTTCGGTCGATACGACTGGGTTTAAACTCAAAAGTCATTTAGTTGTTTAAACGTTTCAAAAATGAACTATACCACTACTCTGAGCTTGTCATGTGTTGATATATATATATATATATATATATATAATACTAGATTCTCGAACACACCGGAAGATCGATACATTACACCCATCTCACAGTTCTCTCTCGAGGTTAGGAGCCATCATCAACGAACGCGCGAAAAATCGGCCGTAGTTGACCGGGATCATTCAATCATGAATAGTGCACACAGAACCAGACAAACTAAATTGCTAGGTAGTTGGTAGATTTTCACGTGTGTTCTATTATGACTGCACTGCCTCATTCATTGCCTCAGTCAGTGAGAAACATCCAGGTGGTACTCGTCCAGGGTTGCGCAAATTCTAAAACAAATGCATAAGACAGACAGACGGATAGACAGACAGACACAGCCTGCTGCTGTAGCGATCAAGATGACGTGTTGCGGCCGAATCAGACTTACATGGGACATTTGGTTCAGCCGGATGAGAACGGTCATTTTGGTTTGTCTGGAAATAGGGGGTGTAAATAGGAGACGTATGAAATAAGTAATCAGCTAAAAGCACTCATTGCAATGAACGGAATGCTCGCTGACCATTCTCGTCTTTTTGGTAGAGAACATCAGTAAGAGGTCCATAAACACAATGCACAGAACAACATAGGGAAAGAGGTTTGAGTGCCGGTTACTGCGTGCATTACAGGGATATCTGTGTTCTGATAGCTGATAGCGATGATGGTGGGAGGCATGGTAGGTAGCAGTTTTGGGTCAGTTCTGTGGGAAAA